ACCCTGAAATACACCAAAACTCTCTCAAATCAGAAATGGCCCAAAAACTCCATTGTCACACAGTTTCTGATCTTGAACATCAAAATCACATTTCCCTCGTGCGTTTCTTGGCCTTTTAGTTTCTAAAGCTTCCTTACATCAAGTGTAACCTATCCCTGTCCCTGTTTCATTATTGTAACATCATTTACCATATCCTCCATAACAAAAATCATAGCATTGCACATTGATTTCTCCAAGTCATTTCAGCCACTCTAAACTCAAGCAAATCATTACATTAGCTTCCTAGGACCTCAAGGAAGCTAACCTGATCATCACCATCACTTGAAACAAGCTCAAACTCCAAACATGATTTCAAGTTTTGAGGTAAGTTTTCTCAACTTGGAACTCTTCATAGAGGCATCATCAATAGTTTATTTGTGAACAAAACATGTAGATATCATTGCCCTGAAGCTAACCATGTCCATAGTTTCCATTAATTTTGCTTGAGCTTAGAGAATTTTGAAACTGAAATTTCTGAAATTTTTAGGGTTCAAATTAGGGCCATTAATATTCATGCTTATCTTTGATCTATAGTTTTAATACTTTACATTTCTGGAATCTTGAAAAAATTTGCTACAAGTTTCATGTTTACAGTTTTCATTTTTGATGAGAAATGAGCAAGTTACAGTTGGTCTGGCTGGAGGTTGAAGATGAAGTCTTCAGGACGCGTTTTGCCTTACATATTTATTGTTTTGTTTGTATTAACCGATGAATAGCCACCCCAGTGGTAGAAGCGTGCGCCTGTAACCTATGGGACCTGGGTTCGAGCCTCAATGGTACCCTTTTGCATTTTTACATATTTTACAAATTCTGACTTTTTATGTTTGCAGAGCGCTGGGCCTCTTTGGGCCTGGCTTATTTTTTTTTTATTTTGCTAGCTAACCCCCTGTTTCCTATTGGCACCCCTGACCCAAATTTATTTATTTTCTTTTTTATTTTCATTTTCTTAAATATATTTTCTAAATACTAAAAATCATAAAATACAAAAAAATAATAGATTTATATCTTGACTTATTTTATTTTATTTGTTCCACAAAAAAATATTTTTATTTATTATACTTTATTTATTTTATTAACTAATCTTGTAAACTTAATTAATATTATGTTTTTATTTATTTATTTTTCATACCATTTAAAATATATTATTTTTAATATTAAAGAAGGCCAAAATATTTTATAATACTATAATTATTTTTAAGATAAAAATACCAAAAATACTTTTTTTAAATTTATTTTCTTTTGATTAATTAATAGAACCAGGGTTTTACTTAAAATCTTTTCTTAATAAAATTCAAATTTAATTAATTATTTTCTTTATTTAATTAGGTTAAGACAAAATCCCTTTTTTCATGAAAATCAAAACAAAGATACATTTTCTTTACATTTTTGTATTTTTTGTACAATTCATTCATTTTATACTTTGTATTTATTTATTTCCTTGTACATTGATATCAATTCAATATAGTTGTAATAGATTAATTATGTTTAAATTCTTGCAATTCCCATTCATGAATTTGTATACTCCCCTCCCCACAAATGTTGTAATAGCGTAGTAACTTTAAATTTCACAATTTATCGCTTTTATATAACATGCTAGTAATTAGGGTTTGTATGGAAAGACTAAAACCAATACTTAGAAAACCCTAATTCAAGATAAAAACAAGCATGAAAATAATATATTTTCACACAAGCACCCTAAGGTTATTCCACTTGGTTGCCTTATGCAAATGGTCATATTACGCATGTGAGGTATCTTAGCAAAAACAAGCAAATACAAGATCATAGTCTCTCGATGACGCTATCTAAGTTGCCTTATAAATGATCTTAGTACCTCAAAAAGAATGCTAAGATACCTTGCAACATTGTTATTCATGGTTATACGATGACCCACGCCCGTCCCGTTTACATCCAAAGATAAAGTTGCTTACCAAATCAATGGTAAGACAACAATGTCAAAGGAAAAGAAAATGAACAAGAAAGACATTTGAGTAGGTAGATTGCTCCTATTTACTTGCTCCATTTCAAAACAAATATCTTTGCTATTTCCAAAACAAACACATACACTTTCAAACATCTTACAAAATTGAAAACATTTTCAAAATATCAAACATCTTTGTATACATTCTTACAAACAAGAATCATTACAAAGATTGCCTAAACAATGACCTCTTTACAAAATACTTTCAAAAACCACATCAAGCACAATTTCAAACAAAAAGCAAGTGATCTAGCAAGTAATTAAGAGCCCATGGAAAATCATGGATGAAAAGGATGCTAATACCTTCCCTTTTCATAATCTACCCCCCCGAACTCAAGAAATAATCTCAAAGGTCTTTCCTGGGCTTTTTCACCTTTCCTTTTGGATAAAAGAAAAGTCGGTGGCGACTCTTGCTAACTGCAACATTTGCGATCAAGCAAAACCTTCAAGTCAGTTCTTCCACTGTATCACACTTTCAAACTATATTCTCTAAAATATATCATTTCAGCTAAAAACTCATGTAGTCGAAATTCTCAATCAACACATAAACACACGTTATAATTTAACAAAATCTAATATATTCACGAATATTCATCATATAATCAATTAAATAAATATTCTTAACTAATTTGGGGTGTTACAGGCCACGTCTGCTAGCCTAAATAAATATGTATAAATCTCACTATAAGGGTTTCAACACTTGATCGAGCCATAATGAAAAATTTGCAATAAAAAATATAACAAATATATCTCGCCTGCCATATCCTGTATGTGACTTGGTCAACATATCTTTTGAGAACAACCTATCTGAAGGTTCTCTTGGAAAGGCTCCATCAGTGTGAACTGATGGCTCCATAGACACACGAGTAGTGGTGTATGTATCAGTGGAAGGCACCTTATCAGCCTGCTCAACAACCGTCTCCTCCACAATAGCCTCCTCAACAACAGTCGGCTCCACAACAACTGTCGCAGGAGCCTCCTCAGTCCACAACAACCTGCTCAGTCAGAGGACGTCGTCCAGCTGTTTACAGTGATTTCTGGTAAACAACCGCTAGTTCTCCAAACTATCAAATAATCTTAATGACTGTTATTTAATCTCTCTGGTAACTTGCAGGATCGACTAGATTGATCCTATGGGGTATTGGTCGTTTGGATAAATCTATTTGTAAAACTGATATTCATAGTTAGGATTTGTATTTAGAATGTTTTATAGACGTTCAATTCACTTCGATTACCATGTTAAAAGAATCTAATGACATGATCAAGTAAAGAAATACGAAACTGAATTGAATGAATAAAGATTCGACTGCAAAGAAATGTTTAAATGCAGAAATAAGTAAATGACTTTGAATGTAAAGACTTTAATGTAAATAGCATGAGTATAAAAGCATGAAATGTAAAAGAGTTTCTGAAATGTAAAGGATTCGAATAGAAGAAAATGTTTAAATGCAAGAAATAAGTAAATGACTTTGAATGTAAAGGTGTTTGAATGACATTGACATGAAAATGAAAGATAAACTGGAAAAGGTAAAGAGTTTTACTGAATTATAAATGTTTGGTGTTATCATACGTACATTGTTCGAGCATTCGTTTCCCTAGCCATGTGGTATTTTGAATGTTTACTAAATTTTGTACAATAGACATGACACACGAAATCCTAATACTAAGACTTCTATTTATACTACTTCGACCATAACGGTCTTGCCTATAAGATTCTGCCACGTTCAGAACATGCAGAGCACTGCTCCTCTCTAGCTTCCACGCGTCTTCGAACGCTCCAGCGCATAGATATTTGAATTCCAACATCCCGCTCGCGTTTGAATTTCAAATGCCTTGGCAATCTTTGCTTCAAACTCATTCCTCAGACACAGTCTCGTTACCACTTCGAGGCTTCTTTTAAACATATCTTCACAACTGTCACTCGAAGCTCCGAGCTTTGACATGTCCGTTCGAAGAACCGCTTCTATCATTCCGAACTGTAACATTTTGCTTTATTCCAACGAAACATCCATATTGCTTAATTTCGAACTGTATCATCAAAATCTTCAACCAACACCAGTGCATAGCTCGGAAGCCCGTGTCTCATCAGCCTGGGTCTGAACTGCCGCTCTATTAGTCAGCCTGGCTGTAACAGAACTGTCTTTGCCCCTGGGCCTCACTGAAACAAAGAAAAAAGTTTTAAAAAATTAGAAAAAAATGAACTATCGGAAATTTATGAGATTTTTCAAAAAAAATTGAACTATCGCAAATTTCAAAAATTCCGGTATAAAAATTGAACTACTGGAAATTTCAAATTTTCCAATATAAAATGTAATAAAATAATCAGAAATTTTGAAATTTTCGTAACAAATAAATCGAAAATTTCCAAATTTCGGATACAAATACACCATAAGTTTCTAAATTTTCGTGAAAATCTATCGTAAATTTCGTAAGAATACCACAAATTTCTTAATGTTTTGTGAAAATTCCAATGTCTTTTGTAAATCTCCCAAGAAATTTCAAATTTGCAATTTGGTACAGAAAATTTCAAATAATTGTGAAAAAATTTATTTGGATTATTTTGGTCTTTCATACACTTTAGGGGTGTCAAGTATAATCGTAAGGGTGTCAAGTTATTTCGTCAAACATTTACCATATAAAATAAGAGAAAAAAAGAGTATGCATTGATAATATAAAATATTTTTAAACTGTTAATCAATCAGAGACGTATATCCAATCAAATTATATTTTTAATTTTAAAATAATACTGATATGATATAATATAATGTTATAATTTTATTAGATGATGATGGAAAATAAATTTAGAATGATAGAACAGTACCTTTAAATTCATAAAACAAATATCCAAAGAATTTTAACATATAATTTAAATAATAAAATATAAGAAAAAATGGTTCATTTCAACCGGCCGAACCTAGTATTCCTCAAACGTCAAAACCCCCGCGCGTAAGCTAAACCGCGCTGGACGGAAGCTGAGTCGAAGATGGCCTTCTCTGCAAAAGACGATAACCAAAGTAACTTCTCTTCTTTCTCTAAATTCATTCACATTTTCCCAAATTTTCTCATTATCGATTTCTTCAAAAGTAAACTGAAGAAAAATTGTGTTTAGGTTCATATTTAATTGAGTAGTGGCTCAATTCTTAAACTAGGTTTGATTTAGAAAATGTGTGATATTTCTTTTGTCTACAAAATTCTTGCTTATAAACTATGAATCACGTACACAGTAAATACGACACGTCGACATCACTAATAATTTGAAAAAAGTGTTTGGTGGATACACGTTTTTTCAGAAGTGTCGGGCTACATAGCTTATAAAGATGTTTATATCAATTTCCTGAAATTTTGAAAACCCTAACTTGGTACACTTGAGTCTACAGGATCTGTTAAAAGAGTTGCTGTTGTTGGTGCTGGGGTAAGGTAATGTGCTTGCTTCACTTCTTCATATCTTTAATTTGGCTCTTTAATTATTGTTAATTTAATCAGATTGATGGTTTGGATTATGTTTCGTTTGGGTGGATTTAGAATTCATATCATTGTTAGACGCACTTAACTTGAAATTTATCTTCTTCAGAAACTAATTAAATTATCTGTCTAAATTTGTTTTTCGGGTATAAAGTGGGCTTGCTGCGGCTTACAGATTGAAATCACATGGTCTGGATGTAACTGTATTTGAAGCTGAAGGAAGAGCTGGAGGGAGGCTAAGAACTGTTTCTCAAGATGGGCTAGTTTGGGACGAGGGAGCTAATACAATGGTAAGGTTACTAGTATAAATGTGCGTAGTTATTTTAATTTACATTACATGTAAGTAAATGTTGATGAGAGATTCAGTTCAGAGTGTAGATTTGTCACCAATCCATAGATTTTGGATCATATTATCGAATGGTCCGTACTCAATGAAATTTCAATTCCAAACGGTTGATTTTTTCATCCATCATATTCTTGTGCTCTATTTTAACGAGCTTCTTCACATTAGAGGAAGATTTCTAACAAGTCGAATTTAGTTTTGGGAAAATTAAGAGCAACCTACCCGATATTTCTGTCCTTTTTTGATTTAATATATCATACAATCCTCCCGGCTTTTAGGTTAAAATAAATCAAAGTTGTAGCTTATGACATCCCATAGGTAGGCTAATAGTGAGGCATGCTATCCTGCAAGCTAATCAACCTTCTACTTTCGAAGTTTCGAAGGCACATGCTCCTTACATGACCTATGAGATGTGAATCTAACAATATTTTTTATTTATAAATCTAACCCAAAAATGAAGGGGTTATGTATTGCAAAATAAAATTTATGTATAAAAATTGAAAATGAGTTATGGGGTTTATTTATACATTACCCTTTTTCGATACATGCTTCCAACATACCAACATAAATTCTTACTTTTCCTGTATTGTACTCTGCAGACTGAAAATGAAACAGAGGTTAAAGATTTGATCAGTGCTCTTGGACTTCAAGAAAAGCAACAATATGTAAGCATTATTTTGCATTTGGACATACTGTCAGAGAACACGTTTTTCCAAAAATATTAAGCAATTTCTTTTCATTTATTTTCCCCTGATGACTTCATTCTAATCTTTTGAGGTGCTGGAGCTTTAGCTCTTTGAATTGAATTATAATATTGGTGATTGGCCTATCGGGGATTGCATACCTGTTCTGTTTATAAGATTGATATTTTGTTTATTGTTACAGCCTCTGTCGCAGCACAAGCGCTACATTGTGAAAAATGGGACACCACTTATGGTATGTCTTGCCAGTAACTTCTGTCATTCTAAAATGTATTTTTTTTTTTTTTTTTTTTTCAATTTTGAAATATTTGGACTTTGGAAATGGGTTTTCAGTTCTTACAGAAATTTTGTCTCAATAATTATGGAATGTGGTAACTTATTAAATCAGGTACCTGCAAATCCTGCTGCACTGTTGAAGAGCAAACTGCTTTCTGCACAGTCAAAGGTTTCTTTCTCACATTTCTATGAATCTATCAGCTTTTTGAGCTTTTGTAGTTTTCTCTTTTAATGTCACGAAATGTTTTCTATTTGATTAATGTGACTTCAAGATGTTTTCATTCACACACTTCTCAAACACTCCCTTGCAAATTTTCATTTGTGTTTCCCATTTTAACTTTTTTTCAAAGGTAGATCCGGTATATGCCTCATATAGCATGTGCCAATATCTTTTCTTCTCAATTTCTCTGGTAACTGTCAGACGGAAAGCTGCAAGTATTTCATTAGAGTGAGCTAGGGAAGTATTCCCCTTATTACAGTATAGATAACAGAACTTTGAGGGTTTATACCTCCCATTGCTGAAAGCCTCAATGCTGACAATTCAATTAACAACCATCCTCTTCTCTCTTCAGTTATCTATTTACTTTGTAATCCTTCTTAATCTCTCTACATGAGTCTACTTATTACCTATCTGTGGAATAATTCTGTTGGTACTTGATGTCCAGAAGAAATGTAAGCTGCAGTTGTCAAACCACTGTCCAACTTTTCCTTAATGAAGTGCTGGTATAACGCGCGTGAACAATAGAGGAGGCAGGGGCGTCTCTAAACATTTTGATGCCTTAGGAAAAACTATAAGCGATCTTAGTATAGTCAAATTATTAGTTTTTGTATTATTCCTCTCTTTTCGAGCTGCAAAATAGATTATAAATTTTTAAGGCTTAATTGTAGTTTTAGTTCACCTATTTTTACCCGCCCACATAATTTGTCCTCCATTTTCAAATCACTTAGTTTTAGCCCCTCCCTCTTATTTTGGACTAAAAGTAAGTGGTATGACATGTTCTAAATGATGTGACATACACTTTAACGATGTAGAATCATTGAGATTGATTATTTAAATGAATAATTTATGAAGTTGAAACTGGAGTTTTTAAAGGATTTTCTTGTAATTTCAGTGTTGATCATTCCACATCATCAAATTTGTATGTCATGTCAATTAAGACATGCAACATTGCTATTTTTTTGTCCAAAACTATGAGGGAAGGACCAAAACTAGTGATTTTAAAATAGGGGACCAATTCCGTGAATGGATGAGAATAGGGGGACCAAAACTGTATTTAAGCCTGATTTTTATAATCAAGTCATTTTAATATTTCACTCATAATAGAAAAACATGTCAAACACTCATTGGATCTATTTTTTTTATTGATCAAAGTAGAATATAAACTATTTTAATTTTATAGAACTTGTATTTCATCAATAATATTATATAAACATTAATGCCACTTTGCTAAACAATGTTAACTTATAATGGTCATATTGCTTTTCTCTCAATTATTGCATTTTTTAAGGAACCTGTTGCATCTTGTTGGGGGTTTTATATTCATGTGATTATATTATATTTGGGCCTTAATAGTAATAGTGAATTATTAACACCAAAGTTGAGGTGTAAGGCTAATGTCTTCCTTGCCTTGCCCCATATATGGCCATGAGCGGAGTAAAATGACAGTGATGATCGGGACAGAACAGTGACAATCCAAACAAAAAAAAAAATCTGTAAAGACAGCAGTGAAGGAGCAGGAAACTACAATGAAGGCGGAAGAGAAAACAAAGGAAACTGCAATGACTTGGGCTACAGTTAATGCAGAAGCAAGACCCTCAAAATCGGGAGTTCACGATAGCTCGAAACTCAAATTCAGTGGAGGACTTCAAGACTAAGACTTGCTTATTACCTTTCCAAGAAACCAATGTATAACCATGAAATGTGGGCCAACCAATGACGTTCCAGTAACTACACCCAAGCAAAATAAAGAGATGTCCTTAGGAAAAGAGATTTCTGCAAGAAAAATATGTTTGAGATGGCCATTGGCAAAAGCATTTCTACTCTACACCTCTACCGATAAATCTAAAATTGTCACTGTCTCGATATGATGGAGGACTCTACTCTTTTTTGGTCCATCGGGCATGCCTTGCAATATGTGACAGTCACATGTTGTGACATGCCTCCTATCACTAGGACTTGTGTTAGAAAGAAACATAGAAATCAAATTAGTGTTAGGACAGAAGTTATGCAGTATTAGTAGGCAGTTTATTTTATTATTATTAAATGCTGTGTATGCAGTAACTGCCATGCAACTGCTCTAGGAAGTCAATTATAAATATAGGCTGAAAGGGAAAAGGGAGGAGATTGGGTATTCTGTATGTTGGTTGGTTTGGAAGAGTCTAGGCTCTCTAATTCCTAGATGTTGATTATTTTCAGCAGTTAGCATTTATATGTTTTCTAACTGTTGCATTTTCTGCATTGTAGCCATCCCTGTGGAAGTTATTTCCCAGAATTGTAGATTGTTGTCCATTCACAAACATTACCAATTTCTCTATTCTATTCCTATTAATTAAACATTTACAGTACGAAAGTTATTACCCACTTTTGATATTGATGTTCATTAAATAAACAGTTACAGCTCTCTAGTATATTCCCCGCAATAAAAAGCAATTGTCTATTTTGTAAATAAGGTGTAGCAGCTTAGTCACTACCTCTACTGGCTACTTTGAACAACTGTCGAAAAGGATTTCTAGGTATCTCAGAGGTACAAATGAATTTTTCTAAAAAGCAAACCCTGGTGGCTAAAATCAGCCAGTCTCTCCTAAATGCCATTTCGTTTGCATCATTATGTGATGCTGATTGGGCCTCTGGCATTGATGACAAAAGGTCTACTTCCGAACTTGCTTGTTAGTTTGGCCAAATCTTATTTTGTAGCAGCCCAAAAAGCAAAGCCTGGTGGATAAATACAACTAAGAGGCGAGTATTGAAGTCTAGCACATGTTGCCTTTGAAGTTCTTTGGGTTCAACCTCTTCTACATGAGTTTTAGGTTCAGGTTTTCACTCCTACCATTTGATGTGATAATCAAAGAACGATTGCTTTATGTGAAATTCTAGTCCCACACTCTAGGTTAAAGCATATAGAATTAGACAATTATGTTTGGGAGAAAGTTCTAAATAAGCGGCTCATTGCTGATTGTATTCCTTCTTAGAAGCAAGTGGTTGGTATTCTCACGAAACCCTGTCTAAACTTCACTTTTCTGCAATCCGACAGCAAATGGAAGGTGCTTAGCAGTTCAAGGCACTTCCCCACAGCTGGAGTTTTTGAAGCATGCTATGCATAGTGTATATAGGTGTCAATGAACCCCCACATGACAAAGCCCTATTAATATGATTATCTTAGTATGCGAATCAGATTAGCTTGTATTTTCAAGCTGTTAGCAGTTATGTAAGATGTTATTTTTTGTTACGACTTGAAGATGTTACTCATCTGTTTTCACCCTTTACCATATTAATACCAATCTTTTCTCTCAGAGACTTGGAATGAAATAAGACATAAAACTCGAGATATATAATTTTTATGTTTTTTTTTTTAAGTTCTCTCACTCAAAATCTTACAATTAGAGAGAGATATGGACAGTATAATACTTCTAGAGCTTTGACAATCCTCACCTCTTGAGCTAACTTTTAGGGTTGACTTGACTTAGGCTGTTTTGTCCCACTCTCTAAATCTTACAATCAGAGATATGGAGAATGTAGAACTTGTAGAGCTCAGACACTCCTCATCTCTCGAGCTAGCTTTTGGGGTTGACATGGCTTAGGCATAACCCAAGTTCAAAGACATGGGAATTTGGAATGAGATTCACTCTAAGCAGTTGATGACAGACTTCAAATTAATTTTTTTATTATTATAATTATAACATCAATTGTTATTATGCTCCAAATCTATGTATTCCCTATTATTTTTGAATTCTGTTTGTGGTGTTGATTACATCTTCTAATATAGCTACTTAATGATATTCATTTATCCTGCTGATAAAAGATAGCTTGCACACTTACCTTTCTAAACTTGCAGATCCAGGTCTTTTTTGAACCATTTTTGTGGAAAAGAAATGGCTCCTCTACTGTGTGTGATGAAGATTCTGAAGAAAGGTTCGATAAACCTTATTAATGACACCTAGTCTTACAAAACCTTGCTCTGTATAGTTTATATTTTACTAAGATAAGTTGTTGGTTGTTGTTGTTATAAGCAAAAGTGACATCTTTTGCATTCTTTTTGTTTTGTTTTTCAGTGTTAGCAGATTCTTGGAACGTCATTTTGGGAAAGAGGTATATGTCACATTACCTTGAAATCGCTCATTTGCCATTTTTCGACTTATGGCTAATCTATTCTATGCTTACAGTGCTGCATATATTTTCCAGCATTTTATTTATTGAATGAGAGAGAAAAGCGACATTATTGTGAAACCGTGTATTTCAACAACTCAGAGGAGTCTATTTTATATAGGTTCGAAGGAATATAAACAAATGGAATATAGGAGATATTATTCCTATTTGCAATTGCATGATATGATACAATATAATATATCTACAATAAATACAAATATCATAATATATTTTCAACACAACCCCTCAAGCTAGAGCATATAAATCATATGCACCGAGCTTGTCACGGAGATAATTGAATCGATGACCTCTTAGTGATATGGTGAAGGCATTTGCTAGTTGGTCACTTGAAGTTGACAAAGCTCGGCGTCATTTGCATGGTTTCACCAAAATGAAGCTCCGAGTAACAATTTCAACCAAATAAATAATACGACGGATGCAAAACAATGCTGAATCTATCGAGTCAGGAACCAAACCCGAGCTGACTGGTTAAGACCATAGAGAGACTTGTGAAACCAAAACACCATTGTAGAGGACTTGTCTAGAGTAACAAATCCAAGGGTTTGATCCATATACACTCTCTTCAAGATCATCATGCAAGAACGCATTCTTAATGTCAAAGCTAACGAAGAGGCCAGTCGGGGATGGTTGCTTAGAGAAACAAAAAGAGACCATTTTGGTCAAAGGTGAGAAAGTATCATCATTAATCAAACAAACTATCTAAGTGTAACTCTTGTTTATCAAACAAGCCTTAAAACAATCAATCTTGACTATATAAATCTAGCCCCAATGATCGAAGTGTTCCCGACCATGGTTGTAAAAACCGAAATCTCGATAAAGATCGTTAGGGTATAGAAAAAGCGTATAGGGTAGGATCATAACACGGATTGTAAGATCCCAACAAAGTTATAAAAATAATTAGGAAAAATTACTTTAACATAAAATTCTCATTAATTTAATCATCAATAGCAAATATTATATCCAAAAAAACATAATAGAAGGATTTGGTTTGAATTTATAGAAAAGATAGATGAAGGGAAGAAATCCATTCATTGTACGATTAATCGAAATAAAATTCTCAGAGCTCCAGTGTCTTTTGTTTGCGAACAATCCTTATTTTACAATTCTCAAAAGCTCATTTAAAACATTGCAAGTCCCAAAACCCCTAAACTATGTGTGCACAACAGTCAGGGGTAGTTATGGGTTACTTTATGGGTCGAATCCAATTGTTGAACGACCTGATCGAAACAAGTCTAAAGCGGGTAAAAACAAAAAATGGATCGTTGAGATCTCAAAATCCTACGATTTAATGATCTTTCTCTAGGAGTTCAATGCTCCTGCCAAATCTTAGATCTTTGTGCCACTTAAATCGGTGGCTGGTTGCCGGAGCGTAAGATTGTAAGATTTTGGGAGTTAGAGCGAGATCCCGACAACCATGCTCCCAACTGATTTGAGAACATGTTTCTAAGTACCACTGCTTTGATGAACACACATCTCATCCGTCATTGTTTATCTTCACTCAAGGAAGCTTCACCTGAAGAGCTATGAACAAAATCAAATGACAAAGTAGAATGACAAGCATAATGCGAAGTAGAAATGCAAAGATAACTCAAAGCGTTTTAGTGAGATCGGTTACGGGTAGAATGAATATCCTTACAAAGAGCTATGACAATGTCAGACTTGAGTGGTAGGAGCGGATTTGATAGATGACGTAGCGGGGGAAGGGACATGCATTCACCAAAGTAGGTGGCTAGCAATAGTGGTAAGTCCAAAGTGATTGGGAAGGTCGGGTGTCCACTGGTGGGGTCTCGCTTGGAATGGGGACTCAAGAGGGACAATAATAGGAGGTTAGGGATGAATGTAGAAAAGGGCTCAGGACAAAAATGTAAGACATAGGCTGGGTGACGATAAAAGACATAATGGTCAGCTTCACTACGAACCATACCAAATTGTTGTACTACAATGCTGAATCTGCCAAACCAAGCTCTCAGAGATTGCTTAAGACCATAAAAAGACTTGTGTAGCCTATAAACCATATTCGATGACTCTCCCTGAGCAACAAACCCAGGTGGTTGCTCCAATGCATTTTTGATGTCAAGTTGATGAAGAGGCCGATGTCGAATGGCTGCAATGGCTAGAAGAAGTCTAACATATGCCATCTTGGCTACAGGCGAGAAGGTATCGCTATAATCCAACCCAAAAATTTGAGTGTATCCTTTGGCTACCAAGCGAGCTTTGAAACAATCAATCTTACCATCTGGACCAACCTTCAGTGTATAAAGCCAACGTCAACCTACTAAAGATTTTCCAGTGGGCAGAGGAACCAGTTCCCAGGTACCACTGCTTTGAAGAGCACACATTTCATCAATCATTGCTTGTCTCCACTCAGGGTAAGATAATGCTTCACCTGGATATTTAGGAATAGAAACAGAAGACAAAGAGGATAAACAAGTATACTGTAAAGGGGAAAGACGATGATAACATAAATCAATATAATGTGGAGAAGGATTTCGTATTTGACGTATACCTTTGCGAAGGGAAATCGGAAGATCAAACTCCGGTTGCAGGATCGAATCTGGTGATGGCGATAGCGTCGGAGGAGAGTCTGCAATGATCTCAGGAACAACTGTGACTTCCGGAAGAGGTGTGAGAGTACTTTCCTGAAGGGGTTCCAAAGTGACTTGGGTGGACGCAAAATATGACAGACTCAAAGAAGGTAACATCGGCCGATATCAGTTATCGTTGCAGAGTGTGTGAGTAGCAACGATAACCCTTTTGGGATCGATGATAACCAAGAAAGAGACACTTCAGTGATCGAGCTGATAGTTTATCAAGACCAGGGGAGAGATTATGCATAAAACATATAGACCTGAAGATCGAGGAGGAATTGGGTGAAGAGAAGAGTTTGGAAACAGGATTGAATGGGGGATTTTATTAATAAGGACAAATGAGGGCATGCGATTTATGAGGTAACACGCCGTGAGCACAACATTCCCCCAAAATCTGAGAGGGACATTACCATGGAGAAGTAGAGTCTGAGTGATTTCTACAAGATGTCAGTTTTTGCATTCGGCTACCCCGTTTTGTTGAGGTGTATGAGGGCAAGATGTTTGGTGCAGAATACCATTGGATGACATAAAGGTTTGAAATTGTTGGGATAAATATTCACGTGGATTGTCACTTCTTAAGGTATGAATGGACAAACCAAATTGAGTTCTTATTCTCGATAAAATTGTTCAAAAATAGAAAACAATTCAAATTTGTTTTTCATTAAAAATAGCCACGTGCAACGTGAAAAATCATCAATAAATGTTACAAAATACCTAGACTCAAAAGTAGACACGGTACGCGATGGATCCTAAACATCGGAGTGAACTAAAGAAAAGGGGACACAACCCGTTTATTGACTCGATCGGAAAAGTGACTACGAGTATGTTTTCCTTACTGCCAAGACTCACAATGTAAAGTGGATAATTTAGATAAACTGGACACCAACTTTTGTAGCTTGGGAAGATCTAGATGACCTAACTGCGCATGTATAATGAGTGGAGAATCTATGGTGGGGCATGTGGTAGATGACGAAGAGAAGTAGTAGAAGCCTTGAGACTCACATCTGACGCCAATCGTCTGTTCTGAACTCCGATCCTGCAGAATAACATCACTGTTAGTAAAAGTGAGAACAATTAAGGGAATGAGTTAAACGACTGATTGACAGTAGATTAAATGGGCAATTAGGTACATATAAGAGAGAAGTAACAAAGAGAGATGGTAGAATTTGAACAGTACCGATCCCTTAGGGATTGGGATTGAGAACCATTTGCGGCAGTTATACTCAGTAAGAAACCAGAGGTAGAAAGGGAAGAGAAAATATTTTTATTACCAGTAACATGATCAGACCCACCAAAATCGAGGACCCAGGGACCAAGAGGAGATGATTGAGAGACGCAAACCAATGAATTACCAGTGTGTGCAATCGAAGTCGTGGAACCAGAGGACTGGTTAGTCTGACACCACCTGAGAAAATCCTTGTAGCTTGGCGTAGGGCTCTGAAGAGAAGGTGAACTCTGCATAGTATTTGGGTTATCAATTTGAGCTGCATTTACCTGTCGTGGAGGTTTGCCATGCAACTTCCAACAACAATCGATAGTATGCCCAAGCCGATTACAATGGTCACACTTAGGACGAGGTTTGGAGTTGGATGACCCTCCTCGAAGGCGATTCTGATTGTTGCCAAGAGATGCAAGAGCAGCAGTGTCACCTGGTGTTGGAATACAATAGATGGAGGGGAAACTGGGCCAAACGCATGAGGTGTAGTCAAGCGCAACAATTGTTCACTAACTGTATCATAGTTAGGAACAATAGTACCTGATAAAATCTGGTTACGAACGGATTCGAGTTCTGATGGTAGTCTTTTAAGTGCCATGACTATGAAATATTTACTCTGTTGTTCGACATGAGTTGTTGCATCTTTTGCGTAAGGCATGAGGGTTGCGTAACTTGCTTTCAAGGCATCAAGCTTACTCAGATAAGCTTGCACATCCATATTTTCCAACTTCAGTTTGTTGAGTTTGTGGATGACACTGTATAGAGAATGAACATCGTTGAAAAAGACTTTCTTGGCCTTTTGCCACACCTCATAATAAGTGGAGAACGCTTGGTATTGTGCTTGGAGGTTAGGTGCTATGGAAAACCACAACATAATACACAGAGGCATCCGTTTTCTTCCATTTAGCGAGTTTGGCGGCTGCAATGTCACTCAATTGGGTGGTTAGATGCTCTTTATATCCCTGACCGTGAAACCACATCTCGACAACACGAGCCCATATGTTATAGTTGGCTGATCCGGTTAGTTTTTCACATGGGATAAGCAGAATTTTATTTAGTAAACGAGACAGAATCAGTATCTCCCATGGCTTAAAACACAATACCGGGGATGGTTGAACTATAGGACAAATTTTCGAGAGTCGGAAGAAAAAACAGATACCGGATTTGTGATCAGGGGCCAAAATCAAGTGGGGCGGCCGGAGAAACGGCCGGAACGAACGGTGGACAAGCGGCCACGCGCGGGGACGACGAGGTCGCGTGCGGGCGCGTGAGACGGCGATTGGCGGCGGCCAAATCGGATGACGGCGAGTCGGATGGTGGGGTCGGTTTTCGAAATTGGCGTCGGAAAGATTTCAGAACATTACCGACAGAAGTGTCGGAATAAAGAATAACAGAGAACTTTAAGGGGTGAAGCAAACTAGAGTGATGACACGGTTTACACAAAAAATTTCACCGGAAGACAACCGGGTAAAGCATGAGGAAGACTTTTCTCTTAGTAGGCTTTAAATACCATGTTGAAATAGAAAATACCGAGAGACATTTAGGTTAAACCGTGTGTTGAATACCACAATGGAGAATGATATATATAGAGAAAAATACAGATCAATAGTAATAATTACATACTAAATATATAATGATTCTATTCTAGAATATACTACGGAATATTCTTAGGGAATATTCTTATTCTATATTCAAATATCAACAATAACAAAGAAAGAAGTACTTCAATGATTGTACTTGTGAAAAATACATAGTTGTTACCTTATTGGTGTTGTTAGGGGTGGCAAAACGGGCCGCCCGCCTTGTCCCGTCCCACTCCGCCTTAAGCCCGCTAAAAAAAGAACGGAGCGGGAGAGCCCGTCAAGTGGAAATGGACATAAAAATCTAGTTCGCCCCGCTAAGGTTGCGGATTGGCGGGCGGCGGGCTTGCCCGTTTACTTATTTATTTATTTATTTTTTTCTTCATTTTTTAATATATTAAAAGTTTTTTTTTTTACGTTTTAATTAGATTTTCCACTTACTTTTTAGAATAATTTTTATAAAGTATTTTTTAACAAAATTTACTTTAAAAAAATATTACATATATTAATAAATATATAAAATAAAATCATAAAAAGTTGGACCTATTAGAATTAATTAAAAAAGGGCAGGCTTAAAGTGGGACAAGCTGAACGAATAGGCGCGGCAGGCTTTGGCGAGCGGCAGTTTTTAGCGGAGCGGGCTTTGCGGGCGGCGGTCTTTAGCGGGACGGTGGGTCCAAAATCCCAACCCAACCCACCATTTTTTGGCAGGTGCGCGGAACGGCCCGACGGGCCTCAACCCGTTTTGCTACCCCTAGCTGTGGTACTAGTGAAGCTCAGTCGTCTATGATTTATGAATAAATTCTCTTCCAATTCTTCGATGATCACATTTAAGACTCATTAAAGGCCATCCAGACCATTGTCTCATTGAGTGTTACCTTAATGGTCATTAAAGCCACAATTCCTTTGTCTGCATTAGGTCTAGGCCCACAATGCTTATTAATCTGCCTTAAATGTGTTATCTATGCATTTAAGTCCCTTTATTTGGTTATCCCCTTCCGTTGTTTTAGGCCGGATGGGCCAAACTGGCCTTCTACCTTGTCTAGTCCGGCCTTATTTTACCGAGGTGGGCTCTCACAGTCCCCCAAACATGAGTTGTGTAGGAGCGAGATGCTTTAAAGGGCTGGTTAAGAACATCGTATATTACAGTCCCCTTTGTCTATGTGAGATCTTTATGACTATAATGGCCTTGTCTTTTTGTTTGTGCATGACCGACATGCCTTTATTGCCGTTAACCGCCATGTCTGTTTATCTGCTAGTTTATGGTACGAGTTGTAGCTGAGTCAACAAAGCCGGACAGATCTCCTGATCTTTCTCATGTTCGGCCTGAGCTCACCTCTGCCTTCCGAGTATTCCAATCTTCATGCATGGTGGGCGGACACCGGCCAGTACAGACGTACTGGTACAATAATCAAACAGCAAGCATGTCAAGGTCAGGAGATTGTGGATGTGGACAAAACATGTAGATCCAAATATGAGGTGGTATCTAAGAGAGATGTGGGCATGCGACTTATAATATAATAGGTTGTCAAAACACCACAAATAATAAATAAATCGCACTTTAAAAGTGTCAATAAATCATGGAATCATTGCTGAATATCAATATTTTCTCTCTAAAATCATTAAAAAGAGCGGCTTCTAATTCTAGTTCAGCGATAGAAAGACTAGCAACTTCAAAAATACCAGTCCCATCAAATAGATTTAAATCATCTCTACCAATATCTAACATTTTTGTTGATCCTTCATTATAAGTCTTACTCTTTCTCAAAAGAAAACAAATATTTGTATGAACAAAAACTAAATCCTTAGCCTTTTTTGGATTGAGCATATTCCTTTTCTAAGAGTGAAAAAATCCATATGTTTTCCAATTTCTTTCAGCAAAAGATGAAGAAGTTGTGAAAGGAGTTTCAATTCAATAGATTGAAGATCCATAAGTTACCCAAAACTATACCATTAGAAAAAAAATTGAGTTTGCGTACCCAATATGTACCCATTGGAGTACCGACTTAAAAAAAAAAAAAAAACTAGGTACGGTCTCGGTACATATCGGACGAGTACCGTATGCGTACTGGTACCTGGTATGTACCCGGTATCGGTACTTTGCCTAAAATAGAGTACCCGTGCTTCACAGGTTACCGTGAATAAGATTCCGAGTGCTTTCAGTAAGGTTCTGATTCTTTGGTATGGCAACCCTGTTTTGTTGAGGTGTATGAGCACAATGCCATGAGAAGCCATAAATGTTGATTGTTGGAACAAACAAATATTCACTAGCATTATCACTACATAGAGTGCATATGGAAACCCCAAACTGAGTTTTAATTTTCTAATAAATGTGCTCAAAGATGGAGAATAGTCCAGACCTGTTTTTTTGTACAAAAATAACCACATAAGATGTGAAAGTCATTTTGATAAAAGTGACAAATTATTAAAAACGAGTGAGTTAGTATGAGAAGGACCCTAAACATTCAATTAATATAATGAACTAAAGCATAAAGGGACGGAGCTCGTTTATTGGAGAGGTTCAATACCAACTTCTGAAATTTATGGTAAGAGGGAAATCTGTGGTAGAACAAACACGGGATATGGTGGGTAGTTGGTAAAGGCCTTTAGACCTATATCCGACACCAATAGTCCTTCCCAAACTCTGGTCTGCAAAACAACAGTGGCTTTAGTAAAGGTAATCAAACAATCATTAGAACTAGTTAACTGACTTACCAAAGTAAATTAAAGGGACACCTAGGGAAATAAAGGACATAATTGACTGTCATGAAAGGGAGTGGATGGGATGTATGAATCCCTTGGGATAGAGTTTAAGCGCCTTTAGCTGAAGTTCCTATAAGTAAATAACCGGATATAGAAAGAGAAGAGGAAATATCCTTACTACTAGAGATATGATCAGATGCATCCAAATCAAGAACCCAAACGACCAAGGAAGAAAGATTGTGATATGCAGACAAATGAATTGGGTGTGAGTGTGTGACCAACTATAGCTATTGATCCGGAGGACAAACAATATGCAAACCACTCGATAAAATCTTCATACTTCGGAAAATACATAGGTCTTCAGAGGATCTGTACTACCGAAGGAATCCAAGGAACGAAAAGCAACAGTGGCAAAATAGTATTAGAAAGGACACGTGCAACAGCTGCAAAGTCAAAGGATGTGGGCCAGAAATTACAAGACTTGGACTGTCGAGTGATGGTGTTTACCGCATTTTGAAGTGCGACCAGAACAGTGGTTGCAAGGTCTATCACACCTATGACGGTTGCTAGGTGCATGGGAGCGTTTGTGTGAGCACATTGAGGTGTGTTTTTGGGTTTTGGCTGATCTGGGCGGTGCGATTCTGATGGTGTGGTGCTCGGCTAGAAAGGTTGCCAGAAACCATGAGTGCTGACTGTGTGAGAGCGAAAAAAGAGAGTGAAAGTGATGGAATGAGATCACCACCACAAAGAAGGAAGGACAAACTGCAGTTGGAACACAGTTTCCTAAAATAAATCGCCAAAATGCCCTATAAGGACAGATTTAGGGTTACCTCTATTAGCTCTAGATACTATGTTGAATGAGAGAAAATATAGCATAATATTGTGAAATTGTATTTCAGATATACTGTGGAGTCGATTTTATATAGCATGATATTATATGCCTATACAGTATTTCAAATATAGCATGATATTATATGCCTATACAGTAAAAACAAAAACCATAATATTGTGAAATTCTAGTATTTATTTCTTTCTTCTAACAAATTATTTGTAGTTTGTGGACTATCTCATTGATCCTTTTGTTGGAGGTACAAGTGCAGCAGATCCTGAATCTCTTTCTGTGAGTTGCTTCTCAATGTTTTAGATGTGTTTGATAGTTCATATTAAATTTTTGTTGTATTAATATTGGATAACCATATAAAATGTCAATTTCCTTTCATATTTTTCAAACAGATGCGCCATTCTTTCCCAGAGCTATGGAATTTGGAGAAAAGGTATTGCTTGCAACTTTCACATAGGACTTTAAATTAAATTAGCTGACGATATTCAAATTTTTTAGGCTCTGTTTAGTTAAATAACGGTTGTCTGATAAGCTAGCTTATAGCTGATGACTGATAGCTTATAACTTATAGCTGATGGCTGATGATTTATAACTAATAAGCTAATTGAGTTGTTTGATAAAATTAGCGGTTCAATTAGTTGATAAATTAAAAATGACATAAAAGACATTTAATATAAAACTGTTTTATTTTAAATTAAAATAAATTACAAAGGATAGTAGTGGGTTGTAGTTAAAATAATAAGCGCAAAAATGAAAGAAAAAAATGATAAGCTATAAGCTAAAATGCTATTTGAAATAACGTTTAGAAAATAAGCTATAAGCTAGTAAAATAAGCTATAAGCTTGTGATAAAAAAACCGTTACCAAACAGGTCTTTTATTGTCATATGAGCTTATAAGCTATAAACTATAAGCTCAAAAAATGTCTTGCCAAACAGAGCCTTAGTCTTGGTTTGTTAAGTTTATATCTTCACTTGAGTATGGGAGTTGTAGAAGAGTCTGTTAGGTACCAGACATTGACATTGACATATAAGCTGAATTGATATAAAATATGAAAATACTCTTTATAATGGGAGTGAAAAACCTGTTACAAGCTCAAATTAATAAACAGAAAATAGAAGAATAACGCCTGTTCTGAGAAAGGGTCAACTTATATTCTTAATTAATATCCCAAAGTACGCACTTATTCCTCTTCTCATTTGCCCCTACACTGATCCCCACCTCTCCTCTTATATAGAAAATGGTTACATATCTCTCCCTCCACTATCTAATTGCCACGTGCACTTTCTGTTATTCCCTATGTCTCTTCTCAAATGAATTTATCCTCCTCCCTCTCTCTTCTCAACCGAATCGGTTCATCCTCAATCTTTGGCCTTATAGAATATTCTTCTCTAATATCCATGAGTTACGGGCAACTAAGAGTCTCCGTAGAAATGTAAAATATCATTTCTTTTTAGACTTTCTTGGTTACTATATGGTGGATCCTCTATGTTTCAGGTTTGGCTCCATTATAGCAGGGGCTTTACGATCCAGCTTATTTGGCAAAAGGAACAAAACTGGAGAAACTAAAAATGCACCAAGGAAAAACAAGCACCAGCGTGGTTCATTTTCTTTTCATGGTGGGATGCAGGTATTGAACCATTGTTCAAATATTACTCCTTTGAGGAAACCTTGTCCCGTGCTTGATTAGAGTTACTCTCCATTTGAATGTTGTTTTTATCTTGTTAATACATATCTTTCATCTCATTTGTTTAACTGTGTATCCAGCACAGACACTGACTGATGCATTGTGCAAAGAGCTTGGCAAAGATGACCTTACATTAAATGCAAAGGTTTTGACACTAGCTTACAGTCATAATGGAAGTTCCCCATCAGAAAACTGGTCAATTACTTGCACTTCTAACAAAAAAACACAAGACGTTGATGCAGTAATTATGACGGTTAGTATGGTTTCACTTCTTTTTCCGTTTTGTTCTTTCCCCGAATACTCCAAATTATGCATGGAAATGTTAATATGACAAACAAGCGAACATGATTCAGGGAAAGGCCTGGCTTGTACATGTTCAGATCCAAATAAATTAGAAAGACCCAACACAACAAAAGCCATGCATTGTTATTACAATTGCTCTTTTCTCGACAGTTACAAATAAAATAAAATAATAGCTCTCTTACCGGCTTACAAAAAGATGGATCAAAATTCAAATAAACAAAATGTATTTTTTTCCTTGGGTTTGGGTTTATCCAAGACATGTAAAAAGAGAGAATATGTTACAGTTGGTATTTAAAAAATTCTCTTTCATACATTTCAAAAATTAATTACAGTTGGTATTTGCAGTAATCTTCACTGAGAATATGTTACATCTATACTTAAACCCTAGGTTGTCATACTTGAGAGTCTTGGTCCACTCAAAGATACTCTGTAAACTCAGCAGAGTTTATCTTACATTAAAAATAATAGTAAATGACCCATATTTATGACAAATATATATAATAACGTTAAAATAACAAATACTTCAACAGTACAGCTCCATAATAAAGCATAAATACTTTTAAATAGATGAATATTCTTTAGAAAATTTTAAGACAAAAATCATGGTTGGTTTAAAATAAATTAAAAAGTAAGCTTGGATAGGTAACTTTTAAATAGGTAAACTTTATGAGATCAAAAAGAAATTGTGAAAAAGGAAAGAAAATGATAAAGAAACAACAAAGTCATATTGAGGCATAATAGTTTCCCTTCACAACAACAGCTAATTTGATTTGGTTGTCGAATGATTTTTGCCTAGCACTTGCTTTATTTTTTACCTAAATAAACACAACATATTTGATCCACAACCAAAATAATAATAAAAGCATAAGTTTGTTTTTTAAAGCAAAATATATTGTAGCGCATATAATTAAACCAATTACCAAATAAAATCAACAAAAAATATAAAGTCAAACCAATATAGAATTGTAAACCTTTCAAATCCGTAGGAAAATTGAGATTTTACCAGTTTTATCGAAGTCTACAAGTTGTATGAGTTTTCCAAAAAGAGAGCTTATATGTGCTGCTAACCCATTTTTTGGGACCTAATTCATAAACTTGTTACAACCATGAATCTCTATTCATGGAGACCTGGGTCAAAGTTTCATTGCTGCCTTTTAAAATATGCATAGTCTCTAACAGTTCCACTGACTTTTATGACATTACTGAAGCAAGGAAAAAAACAAAGATGACATTATTCTGCTTTATTTTTTCATGAAGCGCTTTATGAGCCTTTTGTCGACTTGGTTTTCAAGTTTTATTTCCATGCTGAGTGATACTCGTCTTGCATTGTTAATTTCTAATGCTGCTAATAACTTTTGTTGTTTATTTTTATGACACAGGCTCCTCTAGGTAATGTCAAAGACATCCAGATCACAAAAAAGGGAATCCCCTGTTCACTTAATTTTCTTCCCGAGGTATACAATTTTCAGCCTGACCTTAATTTCAATTGGTTTACTTCAAAGTTTATTTGATTACATCTCATGCTCACCTTATACAATTACTACTTGGTAAGGATAATAAGAAATGCTATAGCCTAGTTCTTGTTCATAACAACAGAATCAACTCCAATTGTAGGTAACCTATTTGCCACTCTCGGTCTTAATCACCACCTTTAAAAAAGAGAATGTAAAGAGACCTCTGGAGGGATTCGGAGTTCTCGTTCCTTCAAAAGAGCAACAAAATGGTTTTAAAACCCTCGGTAATGCTTCTATAAGCCGATGGCTTAATAAAACTAAAATAGGTCAAACTGTTTCTGTCATAACTGCTGACTTATTTTGTACAACAGGTACACTTTTTTCCTCTATGATGTTTCCAGATCGAGCACCCAGTGATATGCATCTCTATACCACCTTCATAGGGGGAACTCGAAATCGGGAACTTGCTCAAGCTTCAACGTACCTATATTGTTACTGTGATTTTAATCATATTATGTGTCTATTGTCTTCTCTATGCTTTTCTATTGTCGCTCAGCTAACTAATTTTTATCTAAGAAATCAGACAAATAGTTTAGTAAAATTCTACAGAAGTCGATTATATATGAATGGTAATAGGCACATTGGAGGGACAATAGACCCCCCCCAAAAACCCTATATGTTGTCTCTCTCTTGTTTTACTGTCTTTTGTATTCTTTTCATTATCACCTTTTCGTTACTAATTTGCTCATTTACTTACTGCAGTGATGAGCTTAAGAATATCGTCACTTCTGACCTGAGAAAGCTGTTGGGAGCAGAGGGGGAACCCACATTCGTCAAGTATGTCATCAATTTATTTTCAAAACTTTCTCTACTTTTTTCCTTTTCTAATGCTCTACTCATTTGCAGCCATTTCTACTGGAGTAAAGGCTTTCCTTTATATGGTCATAACTACGGGTCAGTTCTTGAAGCAATTGACAAAATGGAAAAAGATCTTCCTGGATTTTTCTATGCAGGTAAGTTCTTATGCAATGGTTCATATACAAATTAAGCTTAACAACCCACTCTCTGTTATTGAACATACATATACAAATTAAGCTCCTATGTTAGTAATGAATGATGAAAATTTGTAGGTAACCACAGAGGTGGACTCTCAGTTGGTAGAGCAATTGCCTCAGGGTACAAAGCAGCTGATCTTGTAATTGCCTACCTCAGCAATGCCTCAGACAACACTGTCTGATAAATGATCGTATAGATAGATGTAGGAACTGCACGTTTTCTGTTTCCTAGATTTCTTTGTTTCAGCATCTGTAAACAATGTCATAAAAGTACGTCTAAAACAAAGTTTAATGGTGTTTCTTTTCTTTCAATTTTTGTAATTTTAATAAATTTGTTTTTCTATTTTGCTTTTTTTTTTTGTATTATAAAATTTAATATTTTGTCTAAAAATAATAAAGGCCCATTTAAAAACATTTTTAGAAGGTTTGTATTAGAGAAACTCACAAAGATCTATCTATAACGAGAGGAATTAACATCTCACCCCAGTTGTACATGCCACCCCTAATTTTCGTTATTTCTAAAAATATCCCTGAACGATTTAGGGGTGTCAAAGATTGAAATTTCTGATACTTTTAAATTTTATTTTTGGAAATTTTGAAATATATTGAAAATTTTGGTACTGTATTGAAAATTTTGAAATTTTCGATAGTGTAAAAAAATATTGAAAATTTTAAAATTTCTAATAGTGCAAAAGCTTGTTTGAACTTGGCAAACACATAAATATGTGTTCCAACCATAGGATGAGCCATGGGCATAGTTGAAGTTCTTTAGTTATGGAGATTGTTTAATGTGTTGAAATATTAGATATAATCAAAGTTGTGTAATCAAGTCTAAATCTAATGAGGTTTTGTTACCTTATTAGTGTACAAGATTGCTTTATATAAATAGATTAGTTTGTAAATTAGTTTGCAACAATTTAATTTAATAATAGAATTCTTATTTTCTCATTCTCTTTTTCACTCCTCACTAAAAGTGTCACACACTAACAAATTGGTATCTGGAGTTCTGGTTAGATTTTTTATGGCGTTTTCAAGAATCGTATGTCAGAGATCGTGTTTACGGGATTGTGGGTTACTGTCAATCAATTGTCGTGAAGATGAATGCTATTAACGACATTCTGAATTATCTTTCAACTCTTGACGATAAGAATTGGATTCACTGGAGAAAACAGATGCAATCCCTGTTTCTCTTTCATGAAACCTTAGAAGTGGTTACTAATGGCGTTTTTGCGTTGGTTGCAGATGTAACCGACACACAGAAAAACGCTTGCAACAAAGCAAAGAAGAAGGATTTCAAGGTTGCGTATTGCATTTAAGCGGTGATAGACTTGGCAAACTTCGACAGAATTTCTCATGCTGAATTCGTGAATGAGGCATGATATATTCTTGTCAATGCCTATGAAGGAGGTGAGAAAGTCAAGGTTGTCGAGTTGTAAACCTTGCGACGATAATATGCATTGTCGGTGGAGAAGACGAAAAGATTGCACGCTATGTGTCGAAGGTTCAGAAACTCGTCCATCTCATGAAGGGTTGTGGTGAAACGCTAACTGATAAGATGATAGTTGAGAAGGTAATGCGTATGTTGACCTCTACTTTGATCATGTTGTCGTAGCTATTCAAGAATCCAACCAACTCGAAACCCTAAAACTGGAAGATTTGGTTGGTTCCTTGGAAGCGCATGAGATTAAGATTGTCGAAAGGAAAAGAGTTCAAGACTCGATGCAAGCAATGTAAGTTCAGTCATGAAAAAAGAATGGTGGTTCCAACAAATTCAAAGGTAATTCTCGAATACCCACAAGAATAAGGTCGATGACAGAGCTTCTGAATTCTCGAAAAGATGAGAAGGAAATTCCTACCAGAAAGACAAAGAAGAGAAAAAGGCGTGCAATGCTATAATTGTGAAAAGTGGGGTCACTTAGCCAAATATTATTGGTATAGGAAACACAAGAGAATGACAAAAGGCAAGGAAGAAGGAGCAAATCTTGCACGCAAAGATTCAAATGATTATGGAGATAAGGTGGTTATGGTTGCAGCTGTAGATAACCATGTTGAATTCAAGATCTGGTTCTTCGACTCTGGTTGTTCGAATCACATGACTGGTCGAAAAGAGTGGTTGACAGATTTTAATGAGTCGAAGAAGAGCAAGGTTAAACTTGCTGACAATAGCTCGTTGCAAGCAGAAGATACTAGTGATATTGGTGTTCAAAGGAGCAATGGAGCTAAAGTCTTGATCAAAGATGTATTTTATGTACCTGCCATGAAGTGCAATCTACTAAGTGTTAGACAATTGGTCGAAAAAGGTTTCTCAGTGGTCATGAAAGATGGAACTTTAGAATTGTTTGATATCTAGAACAATTTGGTCTTAAAATCTCCTTTGACAAAGAATCAGACGTTTAAAACTGTGATCAGTTCGACAAAGGTACAATGCTTGAAAACAGTTGTCGACCACAAGGATGGTTGTTTGTGGCATTTGAGGTTTGACCATCTGAATTTTTGGTCGCTCAATCAGCTGATTACTCAAGAGATGGTAAATGACATACCAAGTCTTGTGATGCCCGACAAACTCTGTGAAGGTTTTTAGTCGAAAAGCAATTCATAAATTCTTTCGTTTCGACTAATGCCACTACTACAAATAACGCTTCTAACCTCGGACGCAAAATGCATTTTACCTCGGCAAAAGATGCGAGGTAACTAAGGTCGTCATAAAAAGTAAAGACTTACCACCTCGGTGTTTAAAATACCGAGGTGTAATTTTATTAGCGCATGAGTTTGAACCCTAACAATAACAAATTTTATTATTTTTAAAACTAGCATATCTTTTATCTCGGTTTATCAAAATAACTGAGGGGTATGATTATATATATATTTTTTAAAATTGCTTCATTGTTTACCTAGAATATTACATTGATTACCCATAATATTAAAATAAAAATAAAAATCAAATTCGGTAAGGATCTAGATAAAAATCAAATTTCCTTAAAATTTAGACTTTTGATCTTTGAATTATTGAATCTAGGTGAAAATCAAATGTTGGGTGCAAGTATATTCTCTATGAATCTTGGATGCATTTGTTTCTGATGAAAAAAAGGGTAAGATAATTAATATCAATAATGAAAAATATTTCCGGTACAAATAAAAATTTAATAAAACAAACCTTGAACCCAGATAATTTCTTGCTCTTGCAATCCATCGTAGAGAACTTTTCCAAGCGTCCTTAGGTTTCAAGCGCTTCATATGTTTCATTTAGGTTAGACTTCCAGTATCGTATGAGAACTCATATAATAGAAGTCCCTTAGGTTTCATGCGAATCACTAATGGAAAATTCTTGAGTGTTGATAACCTTTAAATGGACGACAATGATTTGTTTAAGACCGTTGAAAATAGTGAAAAATAACACTTAACTATCCTCTCGATTTTGGAATAAAATCGAGGAAAATTGGAAAATGTTTTTTCTACACTTGCAATCCATCCGTAAAAACTTTTAGGAATAAATCATAGTTGTTCAAAACCTTCAACAAAAACAACAACAACATCAACACTATTTTTTGAGATGGATTGCAAAAGTTGAAAAAATGTTTTGTTCAAGGTAGAAGATTTTTTTTCCAGTTTTACAATCCATCCTAAAAAATGATGCATTCGACGGTGGGACGACTACAAATAAGATAACATTAGGGTGTAATCTGTTCAACGAGTGTTTTTATAGTAAAATCTGATTATTTTATCCCTCGGGTTATCAAAGAAACAGAAGGATTAAATCATTTATTTTACACTTGTAAATAAATAAAAACATAAAGTGCAGTAGCTGGGATTCGAAACATGTCTGAAGTGGTATATCACCTCAGTTTTTAAAATAACCGAGGGAACAAGTTGTTTTTTAAAAATAAAATAAAATATGGCACGCCTAGGAATAAAACCTCGGTTTTTTAATGATGACTTGAAAGCTTCGTCATGAAAAGCGCTATTTGTTGTAGTGTGCCAATGAGATCATCCTGCATACTCGAAGTTGTACATTCAGATGTATATGGTCTATTTGAAGAGAAAACCATAAGTGGAAATAAGTATTTTGTTTCGTTTGTCTACGAGTATAGTCAAAAGCTCTATATCTATGTGATCAAGCAAAAGGACGAAGTATTAAGAGATTCAAGATACTTGTTGAAAATCAGAGTGAGAAGAAGATCAAAGTTCCACGAACTGATATATCCAAGATGTTTGAAGATTTCTATGAAGAACATGGTGTCGATCATGAGGTAACTGATCCATATACGTCTCAACATAATGAAATTACAGAAAGAAGTAACAAAACCATATTGAATATGGCGAGTGCGTGCTGAAGCAGATGAATTTTCCAAAATCTTTATGGGATGAAGCTATTTCGATTGCAGTTTATATTTTTAACATGTTACCTACCAAGAAATTGAAGAAAAAGTTTCTTGAAGAATTATAGAGTGGCAAACGACCATCAGTGAGTCATCTGAAGGTGTTTGGCTCTATGTGTTAGAATTATGTTTCTGATGTGAGAAGAAGGAAGCTTGATGACAAAAGTAAACCTATGATTCTGGTAGGATACCTTAAAACCGGTACATACAAGCAATTCAATCCAATTAATGAGAAGATTCTGTTGAGTCGAGATATTGTGATTGATGAAAATTCTGCATGAGATTAGGATTCTACTAATGCAATTAACAAGCCATTGATGAGCTATAGTTTTGACGAAGTAACTGATGAAGTCGAAGTCGAAGAAGTTGTAGATATTCTAGTCGAAGTTGAAGTCGAAGCAATTGCTAACATTCCCGACACAGTCTTAGTTGAAGAGGGTGTGACTAGTACAAGCCAAGAACCTCAAAGAACTAGAGTTCGTCCAACAAGACTTCAAGACTATGAAGTGATTAGTGATAATGAAGTAACACCAGATGGAGAATTAGTTCATTTTTCTTTACTTGCAGGTGCTGCTGAACCAATCAACTATAATGGGGCTTTAAAGAATAAACAATGGAAGTCAGCTATGACCAGAGAGTTACGAGCAATAAAAATAAAAGACACATGGGAGTTAGTCGAATTGCCAACACACACAGAAGCTATCAAAGTGAAGTGGGTATTTAAGTTGGAACACAATGCTGATTAGAAGCTAGAGGTTATTCCAGTTAAAAAAATTCCTCCTCCAAAGGTTAAGAAGCTAGAGGTC